ACAAAAAAAAAAAAAAAAAAAAAGACAATAATGATTACAAGATACATCAAATTACAAGAATAATTAAAACTCAAAACTAAATCAAAACATCTTAAATTAATCCCTTTCTTTTTCTTTCCTTCCCTCATTCTTTGACAATTCAAATGTTAGCATAGTAATGCTACTAGTGCTACTGCTAATTAAAACTGGACAAATTTCAAGCACAGATTGTATAAGTGGAAATTAATTTGGCTGCACGATGTTCTTGAAAGAACGATTAGAGAAACCTCCCTATTTTGTAAAGAGAAAGCATTGCATAACAACAAATAATTGCAACATTTTATAAATCTATGTTGGCCAATGTAAGTTGCTTATTTTGTAATACAGTAGACATTGTTTTAGAATTCAGTCTTATATTAATAATAATCAAGTTTAAAGCTCGTTGATACTTAGAAAGGCTAACGAATTACTTATGTTTAGATGGCGAAAGAGGAAGAGCCACAGGTATCTAAATAAGGCTAAAGCTGCATTCACATCGGATCTCAAACGAAATTCGGACTGCTATTAGAAGCGCTGAACGCCAGCGTCTCTATGTTAACACAATGATTAGATTAGATTTTCAAATCACTTTGGTTGCCGTCTGATCCGAAAATGCGGATTCGGTGTGAATGAAACTTAATGTGTATATGAGTGCGAATGTTACACGGTAAACGCAGGACCAATCTCGATACTTTGGAGGCTAGATAAGGTTAACGAACATGTATACAAATAGCATATTGACATTATTACAACATATATTCATTTAACTTGATATTCATTTAAACAATAGAGTAATACAGGTGTAGAGCCAACATACAATACAAACCGTATTTAAACATCAACGGGCTGACATTTAACAACTTTCCAAACTTTCTAATATATTATTATATTTCTATTTTGGTATTTCTCCATTTTATAGTTTTAAGTTACATGTATACGCCGGATATGGCAAGCCTATAGACGTTACAGCTTCATGTAAACAAAAATTCATTGCAAACCCTATGTGAGGTGTCTCCACTCCTCATAAACTAACGCCGGTGGTCACATCATCTTAAAAATCACAGATAATATACCGTTTGCTCGATCATAACTTATGCAGGTTCCTATAACTCGGAAGCATAAGCAACGTATTAAATAAACTTTTGCATATTGGAAATTTTGGAGCTTTCGACTGCACAACGACAGTAAAACCTAGAACGTAATGAGGTTACATTAAATTCACCAACTGTACTTCTGTAGGACGCAGTTTGGCCCGAATGTACGTTCACAATATTATATAAAAGCCCAACTAAATTTGCTAATGGCTACTCAGTATAAAGAATATCTTATATCATGTGCACATTCTTGGGATCGACAAGAACCCAAAGTAATCAAACCAATACCAAAACTTACGATGGCCCACAAGGGACACACTGCAAAGAAAAAGAAATGCTGCAAACAAAAAAGAAACGCTGCAAACAAAAAAGAAATCATGGAAACAGAAAAGAAACGTTGCAAAAAAAAAAAAAAACGCTGGCAAACAAAAATAGAAACGATGCAAACAAAAATGGAAACGATGCAAACAAAAATAGAAAACACCAGCAAACAAAAAATGAAACGCTGCAAACAAAAAAGAAATGCTGCAAACATAAAAGAAACGCTGTAAACAAAAAAAATAAAAACACTAGCAAACAGATAAAGAAACGCTGCAAGCAAAAAATTAAAACACCAGCAAACAAAAGAAAACGCTGCAAACAAGAAAGGAAATGCTGCAAACAAAAAAGTGAAACGCTACAAACAAATAAAGGAAACCCTGCAAACAAAATGGAAAAGCCTTTGCGCGCGCGCATTTCATACTAGTTGACAACCATAGAGCTATTAAACAACTCTTATTCTTATTATATCTCTATGTTGACAACAGACTGAGGTCAGGTCAGATGAGAGATGCTAAAAAGAAGACTCAAATTCAGCTCATTCGTTATAATCGATTTTGAGGCATAAATACAAAGTAATCCGTTGGTAGGATTTTCCTAGCTCTTCCTTGTATCTTTGTAAGGAAAATACCTCCTCACTACCTGGCAAAAATTGCACTGCACTTCTGTCAGGGTATAATAAAGTAAAAGCCTCTGGGAAGCTGATGAGCTCTTAGTTAAACTTGATCATGTTTTCGGCCCCTTTTTTAAGAGCTCCTCCATTCCTATCAAAGGATTTACTTTCAAGGCACACCATCACGTTAAAAGACCGAACTGTATGGTGACCTCGGGGTTTTTCTCTATTTTCGTTGACACGGCTTTCTTGGTGAATCTAGTACTCCTTTCCTTTTCTTTCCTATCTCTGAAAGCCTCAAATGAGAGACGAGCAAGCTTAGGCCTACTTGATGATGGATTTTCATTTGGACTTGGCCGTTTTCGTGTATTAATATTAGAAGTTGAGTCCTCCATTAAAGATTCACCACAAGAATGGCAAAATATATAAAACGAAGACCGAAAACCGAAGACCCAAAAACGAAGACCCCTATTTTTTCTCTTTCATTTTGATGATAATACGCCAGGCTCTCACAAAATCCCTGTCTCTTATACACATCTAGATGTGTATAAGAGACAGAAAATAGAAACGATGCAAACAAAAATAGAA